TGATCAGCCCCGTGTGGTTGTGTAAATGCCAACCCTCTCAGTTCCAAACTAAAAAGGGTGTGGTGTTGGAGCCAGCGTCATAGACCTCGGGCCTCAGGCAGGTGGGACCCAGGGCTCTGGTCAGGCCCCTGGGAATTTGTTTTTTCTCCCTTCTTCTTGTGGGGAGGGGAGGGGGCAGGTGGGGGAGGAAGGAGTCAGTGGGGGGGAGGGGAGGGACCCAGTGGGGGGGAGGGAGCAGGTGGGGGAGGAAGGGGCCAGTGGGGGGGAGGGGAGGGACCCAGTGGGGGAGGGGGGCAGGTGGGGGAGGAAGGGGCCAGTGGGGGGAGGGGAGGGACCCGGTGGGGGAGGGGGACAGGTGGGGGAGGGGGGCAGGTGGCTGCCTTTACCCTCATCCTTCCTGGCACCCCGGGAGGGCGGGAGAGGAAGGCCAGTCCCCTTGGACGGCAACGGCAGGGACTTCTGGCTTTGTTCAGCTTTGCTCTTGTCCAGGCCGGGGCGCCGCGGCGAGCGTATGTGGCCTGCGGCCTGCTGGAGGGCTGGGCTGTAATGACCCCGCAGTCCTTGCAGTCACCACAGGACGTCGCTGGTGCTGCCTGACGTGTGGAGGTCTGGGCCTCCTTACCCTCCAATATCACCTTGTTTCCTTCCATGTGAGCTTTGAGGGGGTGGCCCACGTGTGAGCACCAGGTCCCCCCGGCCCACCGCCAGGATCAATTCCTGCCCCCCTGAGACCTGGCTCTCAGCTCAGGTCCTGTGTCCCATGGGTTCCACATCCTGGACACTGTCTGGTGGCCGCCGCCGCAGCTGGTGTCGTTTGATCTGGACGGGCAGACGCTTCCTCGGCTTCTGTCCCACCCGCACAACTCTGGTGCCCTTGCTGCATCTCTGTCCCTGTGCTTTGGCCACAGACCACGGGTTCCCGAGGGCAGGTCCCACCTCCTCCAGCTTTGTGTCCTCAGCCTGCGGAACCATGGGCCTCCCTCATGAAGACCCTTCATTCATTTGTTCCCTCGACGGCATTTATTACACTCGGGAACATCCAGGGGACAGCCCCGCTCTGACGGTCCCCACAGTGCGGTGGGGGATGGGCGGCAAATGAGTGAACCCCGAGCCTGGCATGGCCAATAGCAACGATGTAGGGGACGGCGCCATGGTCAGGAGGGAGTCGGCCCCATCCCGGGACCCCTCAGGACTGGCTGTAGACAGTTCCCAGTGCCCCGTCCAGGCGGTCCAGGAAGGTGGGGTGCTCCCTCGGACAAGGCGAGCTGGGAGTGGCTCAGGGCGGGGCACCTTTGCCCCACAGGCTAAGCCTACAGCCAGGGCCACAGGGGGTGCAAGGGATGCTGGGAAAGGTGGTCTCCTCAAGGGATGTTCAGAAATGCATTGTCTGCAAAGCTTCTGGAAAATGTAGTCTCTGGTGAGAGCTGGGTCAGCTGCCATCAGAGGACGGGCGTCCACCTGAAAGGGGGAAGGGGAGACGGAGCCGTGGGCATAGAGTTGCTGCTGTGCCCTGCGGAACCTGGTTCCCTTAAAGGCTCATGTCTTTTATTATAGTCTGATGTGTTGGGAGTAGGCGTGCCACGGTGAGGTGAGGAGGTAGCGGTGCTGTGTGACCAGGATGCGCCTGGTCATTAAGGAAGCTGTCCTTGAAGACACTTAATGGGTTTGCAAACCCGTGTGTCCTCGAGACCAGACAGGACATGTAACCGTGTGAACCGAATGAGTATAGAACAGGTGTGTGGGGGTGAAACTAGACCCACCTGAGAGGACGACACATTAATGACTGATTTCAGAACTTGTTGAGTCCAAGCAAAGCGGTTTTGAGGGCAGGACACACAGCCCAGCAGCTGCTGAGCAAACCACGCTGCGCACAGTGCCAACACAGTGTCCACACCCACCGCTTAGGTGCACACGCACTCGGGAGTGTGCCGAACACCCTCGCACACGCAGATGAAATGCTAACCACCCCTCATTTGTCTGTTTCGTACATTCATACGCTCACTTTCTTGGTGGAGACCCCGGAACCCCCATATGTCTGCCCCTCTAAACCAGGTCGCGGAAAGCCAGAGGGTTTCTAGCTGAGCCTCATGGTCCCCGCCCATCCCAATTGCCACCCTCCAGGGGCCTGGTCGTCACAGCTCAGCTCAGGTGGCTCTGGTGCATGACAAGTCGGTGATGCTGAGGTGGCGCAGGGTCAGGAGGGAGCCGGCGGTGCACAGACCACGCAGGCGCTCCGGGGGCGAGGAGCTGAACTCAGTGCAGCGGAAGAGCTTCGATTCGGATTAGAATCGCCAGGAAAGAGCATCACGGACATACAGGGGGCCGGGCCCTGAAGTGACCTCCTCCCTGAGTTACCTCCCCAGGGGGGTCACCGGTCCTTCAGTGGGACCCCCAGCCGCACACATGCACGCACACACACACACACACACACACACACACACACACAGGGGAGTCATGGACCTGAACTGGAGGCCAGCAGGGGTCACGCCTCCCCCGGCCTCCATGGAGCGGGGCCCCATCTCAGCCTGGAGCAGCTCGGCCCGGCCTGCACCTGCTCCATGTGGGGCGCGCGGGGGTGGAGAAGACTCCAGACGAGGCGCCGGCCCGCCACATCAGCGCTTCCCGGACTCCGTCCTTGCTGACAGCTCGCGGCCGGAGCCCAGCAGCTGGAGTGGCCGCGCGGCCGGGGAGGGGCCCTGAGGGGGGCTCTGCACGTGCCGCGGGGCGACACCTCCGTCCGTCTCCCGGCAGCTGCCCCGGAGTGAACTTCATCCCGGCTCGCGAACCGCACCTTTCATTCTGCCCGGCGGAGAGCCGGCTCTGGGCCCAAACAGAGGGTGTGCGGGGCCTCTCGACCTGCGGTGGCCGATTCAGAGCCGGAGGCTGAGCGGGGGTGCGGGGACCCCGCGCTGCAGGAGCCCCTCTCGCGGAGGCCTCGTCCCCCAGCCGCGGCCTCCCTGGTTCCGCCCCGCAGGACCTGGCCCTGCGCTAGCAGGGGTGCGGGGAGGGGAGGGGGCTACCCCATCCCCGGGAGTCCGCACGGCATCAGGACTGCTCAGAAGAGTAATTATGTAAATTAGCCTCGTACATCAAGCGTCCTATCTTATCGCACCGCCATGTCCCGTTGCATCCTAAGAGCTGACGAGGAAGACACCCACGGCCCGTTCCCACAGGGAGACCGTGGAGGCTCAGAGAGGGTCAGGCACTTCCTGGAGGCCACACAGCAGGTCTGGGCGGCCCCGGGAACAGAACCACCAACGGCCCCAGAGCCCAAGATTTGCCTGCCGGCTACTTCCTGCCTCCTCATCCTCCCACCTCTGATCACATGCGCTCAGCCAGGGGCTGGGCTCCTGCCATGGTGCCTTGGAGCCCGCAGAGAGCGGGGCACCCTCTTCACAGGGAACCCCTCCGTCACTGCCCCGGGGGCGGCCCCTGCTGAAAGGAGGGGAACGTGGGAGGAGCCTCCAGCACTGAGCTCAGGGAGAGATCCCGGGTCCCACAGCGTCCCCGCTGCCGGGTGTGGGGCCCGTTCTCGTCCATCAGGGCCGCAGGGAACATCCTCGCACCGGACTTACTGTGCACACGTGAGGGCCTCTCTGTGGGAAAAGTCCTAGAACAACCCGTGGCACCTGGTGAGTCCTTGAGGAGCGTTCATTAGGTAAGTGTATGGAAGGCGAGCTGTGATGAGCAGGGTCACACATGCAGTCGCTGTGAGTGCACCCGGTGGATTCTCCTTGTCTTCCATCCCCTGCTCACTCGTCACATCCTCACGCCCCCGTGACATCTCACTGTCACCGTGACCACCACCACCAGCAGCAGCAGCAGCACCAATATCACCAGCATCACCATCATCACAACCACCATCATCGTCGTCACCGTCACCATCAGCACCTACACCACCGTTATCATCACCATCGTCACCGTCTCTGCCCCATCATCGTTCTCACGGTTAACGTCTATTGGACACTTCCCTTTACACGGAGCCGGGCCACATCCTTGGCGCACATTCCCGTACCTCATCTTCCCACCGCTCACCTGTCGAGTGAGCTCAGTTACTCAGCGACTCTCAGGAGCGATCCTACCCCTTGGATAGTACCTCTCCTCCTGCGTTATCCTCCCAGAAGCACTCATTGAGTGCTTACTGTTTACCAGGAGGGATAAATTACTCACGTAGTTCTGACAGTAGGGGGTATCGTCCCCATTTTATACATGAGGCAGTAGAACCGCCGGGAGATAAACCCACTCGGCCAACACCACCCAGCCACGGAGAGCAGAGCCTGCATTTGAACCAGGGAGTCTGGTCCCTCAGTAGGACTCGTTATGACCACCCCGCTCCCGGAGACACAGGCCACTATGCTGTGACCCGGCCCCTCCTTCGTACAGAGACCATCCCCCAAGTATCTGGAGAGTCAGCAAGTAGGAGAGCAGTGGGACAAACGCATGGTCCTCAGACCGTAGAAAGGAAGAATTTCGCACGTAGATGTGGTTTCGCTGGGAAGACGTGTTGAGGAAGCAGACGCTCTGGGCACAAGGCTGGCTGTTCTCAGACGATGTGTGAGGCTTCTCAGCAGGCATCTCCGCATCTCGCCAGGAGGCTCCTCCACTCACTTCCCTTTGTTGCAGGTTCAGGGCTTGGACCAAGGTAGGACTGGGGAGAACATGTCCTTACCATGAAGGGCAGGGGTGGGGGTGTCCTAGATGGAGCGAGCTGAGGGAACGGATCACGGGGAAGGCGCAGATCAGACAGGCTGACCCGTGGGGAGAGCTCCAGCCTGCAGAGCGGCGGGTCGGGGTGGAAGTGTGGTCCCGTCCCTGCCCTGCGGACCCCAATGTCCTGACGTCGGCAAATCACCCCAGTTCGGCTCCAGAAGGGGTGGGGCCCAAGGACTGTGCCCACCGCACAGGCTAGATCGGTGAACACCCAGCGTCCGTACTTCCCAGGATTGGATGCCACCTTGCTCTGCTTTGCTCTGGAGATGGGGACTCGGCCCACTCAGGATCGTTCATGGTATTTCCGGAACCTGTAGCCGGGCTGACGGTGTGCACGGAGTCCTGAGTGTCCGCCCGATGGAGCCCTGGGTTAGGTTTCCCCAAGAGTCAGGACCCGGCGTGTCACGTCAGCATCCTCATGGAGAACACCGTGTGGGCTGTGCTCTGCGCACCTGCTCGGGCACCAGCCCTGCGTCCGCTCCGGGCTCCACACAGCGAACCTGGGCTGCGGATGCGTGTCAGCTCAACCCTCTCCTGGGACGTCTGAGCCTTCACTGCAGGGAACAGACAGGCTACCGTGCTCAGGTGCCGCTGGGACAGAGCCCTGAGGATGCACCGTTTCCCTGCAGCCAGGGTAGGTTGTTTTCAGAAATAGACTTGGATTCCTAAGGTTTAACCTCCAAACTCCCATATGTGTGTGTGTGTGTGTGTGTGTGTGCGCGTGTGTGTGTGTGTAGGACGTGGTGTTGCCATGCGTGCCCTCCAAAACAAACTCCCAGGACACCTGGGCTGGGAAACGCTCTCTCTCCCTCCCTGTTTGAGATTCATGAACACATTAGCTCATAAAATCCTCTAAACCACCCAGTGTCCTCAGGAAGAGGAGAGGGCTCCCCGTGGTCAGGCCAGAGCTCCCAAGGCTGCCTTTGAACGTGGGCCTCTCTGTATAGATTGACTAAGAGCTCTGGGAAGCACTGATCCAGAGCACGTTTTTAAATCTTCATTATTAGTATGAGAGCTTCTTTCGATTCCCAATCCCCAGGCAGAGCCAGACACGGCATTGAAAAATGTCAGGCAGGTTTATATTTGTCTTAATACAATCTCAAGTGGCAGACACAACTCAAAGCAGCTGTTGCAAACACTAGACTTCACTGCCTCACATAACAAAAACGCCCAGGGTGACGGCTTCAGCCATGGCTAGATCCAGGGGCTCCTGTGACACTATCAGGGTTCTGTCTTCCCTGAACATCTCACACACCTGATCCCCTTTTCTTGCCTTGGGTCTCCATTTGGGATCTGAGTCTCATGAACACCTGCATCTTCTAGAAAGCTCAGCATTCTTCTTTCTCGGTCATTTAGGTGAAAAATCAGAGTCTCACTGCTCCGCCCAGTGATCCGTGTCCACGCTGGGAGAGTCTCTGGCAAGGGCATCTGGTGATGCAGTTAGCTGGCGTGAGTCACAGAGCCATCCCAGCTCGGGGACCTGCCCCCCACCGCACAGAACGACGGAGGGGAAGGCGCTCCAAGGGGAATGCAGGTTCAGGTCCTGGGCGGGGTGGGTTGCATGCAGATCCAGCAGCACCAACACATGCCTTTCGTCGCGGATCCCCGCGTGCCCTTGCCTTCCTCCCCATGCCGCCTCCGGGCTGGGCCCCATCTTCCGTGCCTGCGGGCCACACCCGGTCCCTTCCCCCAACTGTCCTCACGGTGTGTGTGTGACACCTGTTCAGTGAGACCAGCTCTCGGGACACCTGCGTCTGCACCCGCGCCCGCTCCGTGACCCCCGCCCCCAGCACACACTCCCGCGGCTCCGGGAGTTCCGCTGGCACTTCCGGGGCAGGAGAGTGACTGACTGAACGGACACGAGTCAAGGTGACTTTCTGCTCGGTGAGCGGTCACGGAGGCAGTGAACAAGGCCGCCCCGCGGGACATCCACAACGGGTGAGGCGAGGACTGTGCCCTGCGCCTGCCTGACCCCGGCCAGTGGGTGTGGCCCCTGGGGCAGTCCCAGGTCTAGAGGTGAACTCTCCCGGGGAACCCCAGGCTCGTGGCCGTCCTGATGCTCTGAAAGCACTGAAATAACAGAGGAACTGGTTTCTCTCCAGAATTCCTGGAGTCACATCCCATAATCTGATGGCTGATGGCTGAGGGCCTTTTATCAGGCAGCGTCTGCCAGCGGCAGGCCAGAAACCCAGTGAGGAGTCCACAAGGCCGACTTCTAAGGTGGAGTTCCAGAAAGTTCTAGAACTCCTCCTCCAATGGCCTCTTCCTGGCTTCCTGTTGGGCATGGCAGGAAGTTAGGTAGATGTGAATGACTGTCAATGGAAAACCTCAGGTTATTTTTGGCACCTGATAGTAACTTCCAGAAACCAAGGTGGTTTGGTTTGTTGTCCTACAGGCTCTGACCTCCGACCAGGTTGTGGGAAGTCAGGTTGCACAGCCAGGCACCTGCCTAGTCATCATCACACCCAGTCCTGGGAGGACACCTGAGTGGGCAGAGTACCTTGGGCCACCTCGGACCACCTTCCTTAGACCTGATCTGGTGTCACCGGTGGGGGGGTTGGCATGACGGACCCGGAGCAGGATCTTCACTCCCTGCTCAGCTCGGCCCCGGCACTGGCCCCAGGACTGCGCCGAAAGGAGGGTGCGGCCCGCCGGCCCTCTGGTTCCTGCGCCTGGACGTGGCTGGGTGGGGGCAGCAGGGTCTCCAGACAGGCTCTCGAGCCCCATCGCCAGCGAGGCTGCCCCCGCAAGGCCTGTGCTGCAGGGCGATGAGCTAGTATCTCACCCAGAGAAACGGCTCGGGCACCAGCGTCCTGATGAGACGACGCTGCGGAGTAGCTGCTCTGGACGGAGGATTTCAGGGTAAACCCCCGTGCCGGCTGCACATCCCAGGGCCGCTGGGAGGGGACCTTGGGGGTTCCCAGGTCACCATTGGCTGGGCCTGGCTGAGGCCTTTCCTCGCCCTCCTTTCCTGGTTACAGCTCAGTGCCCTGTCGTGGCGATCTGTGGCCCCCACGGCCTGGCCGCCGCCCTGGGAGGCCGAGCCACCATCTGGGGACAGACCGAGGACAGAGAGCTTCCTCAGGAGAGAAGGGCTCTGAGGAGCTGGACCCGGGGAGACCTAGCAGGCGGGGTGTCAAGTCCAGGGCGCATCTCACACTTGTCCGGTACAGGAAGTCTCCTTCCAGGAGAGGCAGAGGTCGGGAAGGGGACGGGACAGGGGATCAAATGTCTCCCTCATCAACAGGGAGCCCTGTGAACGGTCAGGCTGCCCTGCCTGGATCCTTCTCCAGCACCCACGACAGTGTGGGGTCCAGGCCCAGGTCCCAGCATCCCCGAGTCCCCCAGGCTGGCAGGAGCCCCTGTTACCTTTCCCGAGGGGCCAGCTCCTGGCCCCGCCCACCTGACCCCATGAACCTGGGGCAGCAGATCTGGGGCTGACACTGAGCACTGGTGGCCCCTAAAGTGTGTGATGACTCACGTGCCTCTCCCTGCATTCCCGCCCACCCGAGGTGTGCCCACTGCAGGGACCCCTGGCCGGGTCAGCACACGGTCTGCGGCCTCAGTGCATCTGGGGCCCCGTCTTCTCCCTTGTGCTCATGAAGGGCTACACCCCCAGGTGTGACGTGTGATTGGTTTTAATTTAGATACAAAATACATGTTAACTAGATGCATGTACTTTAACCACTTAGGTAACGTTTTCCTGAGACTTGGTTACTAAGAACCATGTTGTTCAATTTCCAGGTTATGGCAGATTTAACAGACACCAATTTCTAGCTTAATTCCATAAAGGCCCAAGAGTGTACTTTTATGATTTACAATATTTCAATTAAAAACAAAATTTTTAACATTTATTTATTTTGGAGAGACAGAGGGAGACAGAGTATGAGCAGGGGAGGGTCAGAGAGAGAGGGGGACACAGAATCCAAAGCGGGTTCCAGGCTCCGAGCTGTCAGCAAAGTCTGATGGTTGGACTCGAACCCACGAACTGTGAGATCATGACCTGAGCTGAAGTCCGATGCGTAACCACCATGTGCTCCTATAATCTTCCAATTCTTATGGCTCCGACACAGCCTAACGCGGCGGTTGCTCTGAGGGCACCCCAGGGTGATGTGTGCCCTCCGTCCCCGCGGGGAATGTTCTGGAACGTCTGCTAGAGGCTTAGGCGCGGGCTTCGGGCGTCTCCCTCCCTGAGGCCCTCCTCACCTTCCCCTCCCTCCCGTTGCTTGCAGGTCCGCCTGCGGCCGCGGAGGCCGTTCTCTCTTGTTCTGTGCGCAGGGCGCGTGCGCGGGAACCGGGGCCCCTCCCGCGCCTGGACGCACAGCGGCGCCTCGCGAGTCACCTTCCCCTCCGTGTGCGCCTCGTCTGTTCCCTCCCTTCCCGCTCCTCTGAGTTTGACCGCAGTTGTTACTTTCCCGTCTCTCCTCAGTTAACTCGCGGTTTGAACCTCATCCGGAAACGTTTTCCATGGTCAAGACAGGGTTCGTGACCTTCATCTTTAAGTCTTCGGCGTCCACCGACCCCGGACGGCACTTGAAGCGTGAGGACCACGAGACGGGTGCGCCCCCTCCCGGGCCGTGGCCCACGTGTCCCTCCCTTTGCCCACCTTTGAGGCCTCAGGCTGGTTGCACTTCCGGTTCCGCTTCTTACTGGTCCCCCCAGTGGGCGTGTCCCGTCGCCCTGCCCCGCCCCGGCCCCGCCCCTTCAGGTGTCACGACTCCGCCCCGGCCCCGCCCCCTGCAGGTGTCCCCGCCCCCCCACCCCCTAGCTCCTAACGACTGGGGGCCCGGCTGCGGGCGGCGTGTCCGCGCCCTTCCGTGGGCGCTGGGGGGAGCCGCGTGCCTCAGCGTCGTTCAGAACCTGGTTTAAAAGCCGCTTTCAGGGGCGCCCGGGGGTTCAGGCGGTTCAGCGTCCGACTTCGGCTCAGTCATGATCTCACGGTTCGTGGGTTCGAGCCCCGCGTCGGGCTCTGAGCTGACGGCTCAGGCCTGGAGCTGCTTCTGATTCCGTGACTCCCTCTCTCTCTGACCCTCCCCTGCTCACTCTGTCTCTCCCTCTCTCTCTCAGAAATAAATTTTTAAAAAAAGCCGCTTTCAGCGCGCTGGGCACACACAACACAACACGGGAGCGCTACCCACTGAAAGTCCTGGTCAGAGAGAACGGTCACACGTCTACACCGCAGCCTCCCCCCGCAGCAGGGCCTCAGCCCCGCCTGGGCCGCCGTGGGGCCCCTGCACCCGCCTTGCGGCCGACCTTCCGCCCTGGCGGGGACGGGCGCTTGCGGGCGGTCAGCCCCACCCTCCGTGATCGCCCCCGGGGCCCCTGGCAGCCCCCCTCCTGCTGGGGAGGTTGTGAAACACCGGCTTTGTGGGCTCGTGGCTGCCCCCCCCCCCGACCGTGATGGAGAAAGGGGGTCCCAGCTGGGGTGAGGCTTCCGGGACGGGAGGGGACATGTGGGCTCTCGCTCCTGCCCCAGGCGGGCTGGGCGCACAGGAGACCCCCGCCCGGGCTGTGCTGGGGGCAGGGAAGGGGCCTGGGGTGCGAGGGCGCAGAGGGCCTTCTCTGGGCGTGGGCCTCGCTGGGCTGAAATTTTGTCGTGGGCGGTCATTTCCATGTTACAGAATTTAAGATGAAATATTTAAAATGCCAGCAACTCTTAAATTTCCATCACCCACGTAATTAAAGTTACTTTAGCTACTGTGTCTTTTCTCATCAGAAAGCAAAAGCAGTAAATATGTCAGCGGCAAATCGATAAGACAATTACTCCGTAATGAATCCCAAACACCGTGAATTAAACTGACGCGTGGCTACGGGCCTCCTGGGCCTTCTCAGCCTCCAGAGGCCGGTGAGGGCAGCACGGGGTGGGGGGGCAGGAGGGCCCCCCGGGTCAGGGAGCACGTCTGTCCCTCTTCCCTGGCGGGAGGAGGCAGCGCCGTCCTGCAAGGCTGCCTGTCCCCTCCCCCGGGGGCGCCCTCCCCCCCCTGCAGCCTGGCCGCGGGCCGGCCGGTGTCCCCAGCCCTGGTCTCCAGCAGAAGCACGGGTTCCGCTGTCTGATCCCGAGCCCACCGGGCCCACGGCCCCTACCGCTCAGAGCAGCCGTGTGCTCGCCCCGCACCGTGTGCCCTGCTGTCGCCGTCACGGCCCCCAGGGAGCAGCCTCCCTGCCTCCACCCCTGCATCTCTGCTCCCCGAGTGGAGGCTGACACGGGGTGGGGGACGGTATCGGGAGCGCATTTGCACGTCTCTGCGGACCCTCAGCTGCCGGCCCGACCGCTGTGACCCCATGTCCTGCACCCGACGGCCCAGGGGCGAGAGGCCACCCGCAGGGGTGAAGGGGGAAGACCGCAGTTCCGCCTGCCTCGGCCCTGCCAGCAGCCCTGGACGCGTGCGGCGCCTGTGCCTCCGCGTGCGTTTGTCCATCACTCATTCACCACTCACTCCTTCGTTCACTCCGTGGGCACGTCCCGAGAGCCCACTGGCCCTGGTGCAGGGCCGCGCGTGGGGCTGCGGGAATGCGGCCTCGGCCCAGCTGTTGGGGACTCGCCGTCTAGGAAGGAGGTAGATGCTCGGTCACTGTGCCGTCGGGTGAAGGGTAAACTGAGGCCTGTACCAGGTGCTCTGGGGTGAAGGATGCAGGTTGGAGCTCATGTGTGGGAAGGAGGAGGCAGCGTTCCCCAGGGGGTGGGTGGCGGCCAGGAATCCCCGAGGATCCAGACATGTGACTGTGGTGACGACGACCAGGAGGGGCTGCCCTCGGCCCCCCTGATTTACAACCTGGGGTCTCTGTCACCCTGACTGAAGGGAGGGACAGGTGTCTGGTCACGTGATCGAGCAAGTATGACC